CCAAAAACCAATCGCCCCTCAACTTCTCAGAAGTCCAAAAAATCCCTTTGCTCAAATCTTCTTTCCCCCCTTCCTCCCTTTCTTCCACTCCACATTTTACCTTTCCTCTCTGTACCTAGTTTTTCCCCTTCTCTGGCTCTATTACAAGTGTGGAGATTCACCCCCCCCTCGACTATGCCTTCCACCCCTGTCCCCCCCCAAGTTTCTCCCTCTTTGCACCTCCCAGGTTTTCCCTTTCTGCCCCCCCCACACTCATTCCATCCCTTACACTCTTCCCCCCCCCTCTTTTTTGGTACAGTCCTTTACTGTCCCAATTTTTACTCACCCTCCTCCTTCTATCTCCAAATGTCCCCCCCCCCAATTTTGAATCAGAAACCTTGAAGCCATTTAAAAATATTTTGCAGAGACTAAACCTAAATGGACACGATTCACTTCCTGTTCCTTCTCTTCCCCTCTTCACAACGCTCCTTTCCCTTCCTCTTGAACGCTTCCAATCCCCACACGTGATTTTTTTTAACCCCTCTAGCCGTAGGTGTTTTAAAACCCTACAGTTTCCTGATATTTTTTCACGCCAAATAATGGCCTTTTTACAGGGGAATATCCGCGGCCTAGGGTAATCGGGTGGCTTCAGATTTCTTTCCGGGTTTTCCCCCCTGTTGGTCTGCTTACAAAACCCAAAAATTACACTGGGCTTTTTTCCAAACCCTTTTCTCACAAAAATTTTTTATTGTTTTCTTGGGATCCTTTCTCAAGGGGACCTTTAATGAAAGTCCCCTTCTTCTAGCAATATTTTCCCGTACTGTAAACATTTGCCATACCTCGCTGCTTTTACCTGAGCCCTATCCTTTGAAAAAGGGGTTTAAATATGTTTTTATATCTCTCTCCTTCTGAGCATTTTCTATCCCAACTTTGCTTTCTTTTTTCATCCTTACCACCCCACTTTTTTTATTGGTGATTTTAATCCACCTTTATCCGGGGGGGGGGGGGGGGTCCTTTGGGACTCACGTGGCATTCATTTGGGGGCTTTTTCCGCCTCTCGCCCCCTCCATGTTTTAAATAGGGTACTCCCACCCATTTGATCCGACTCTTACTTTCTCTTGCATCGATCTTCATCTGTTTTCTTCCTCCCTGCATGGGATTCCCGGCTGTTTACCAGATTTATATGACACGATCATTTTCCCCGATCTTTCTTATTTCCCCCTTCCTATTCACCCCCTTTTCCTTTTCCCTCGCTGGAAAAGTTGGGGATCTTTACTCACACCTCCCTGCTTTTATGATTCCTTCTTCATCCTCCTTTGATGAGCTCCTACCATCTTCTCGACGTCATTTTTACCACACTTCTCATTCTATACCCCCAAAATCAGGCAGGCATTCTCAGAAGTGCGTGCCTTTGGGGTCTCCTGCTTTTTGCCGTGCAGTAAAGTTTTTAAACGTGCTGATGGGCAGGTACCCGGACAAAAGAACCGCTAGAGACTTTTTGATTTTAAGCAGAAGCGGCGATGCTCGCCGGTCATCCGTGAAGCAAACGCACTTGTTGGCGGGCTAAAAGTTTTCCCCCATCACCTTGCTTTTTCTAGAGTGAATCTGGAAAAAAGTGAGGAAAATGGGGTAAAATACCTCCTGACCTGCTCCTGTTCTACGGTCGCTGGGTTGATTGCAAACCCCTCGCTTGCCATTGAACTTGGCACACATTTCCCTATTTCCGAGGGGCCCCTATGCCCCCCGTTTCTTTCCCAAAGTTGCCGAGAGTTACACCCTTTGGGCTTTCTTCTTAGAGAAAAAACATAAATGTGCCTTTTTCACTTCAAGAAAATGGAGGCAACGCCCCACTTGCCAACATCGAGCTGGGGCCCGACGCATCATATTCGATTTACAACATTTACATCGGTCACCCCTTTTAGTCCCTTACACCTCTTTTAAAACTTTTTTGGGCCAAAAGGGTTTTTCCCCAGCTGTGGAAATCGCCCTTGTTCCCTTTCCGCGAACCGGGGGATACAGGGACATGATGCCCCCCACTATCGCCCCATCGCTCTTTCTAGGCAGTTTGCAAAATGAGGAACGCTCGTAAAAGAGTTTAATTGGTATTTAAGGACACAACGTCCCCTCCACAGTCATATGGGGTTTCGTAAGGGTCGTTCTACCATAGACCCCTTATACGCTTGGATACGTATGTTCGTAATCCTTTTCGAATAAAACTCAGTTATTTCCATATTTTTTACCTTGAGAAGGCATATACACAACTTGGAGGGTTTATTTTTTGGCCCCGGCCCATTCCTTAGGCCTCCGGGCAATTACCATCCTTTTTAAAAACTTTTTTAATGACAGACATTTCCGGGTTCGGTCAATAATGTTCTTTTCCCCCCGGGTTTTTGTCAAGCTGAAAATGTCCCCCAACACAACACTTTTTTCCTTTATAAAAGATTTGGCCTCTGTTCTTCCACCCAAATTTTTTCATCACTCATGTTGTGCTTCGCTATTGCTTTTTCAGGCGGACTGTCACTTTTGCAGTTTTCTCCAGCATGGGTCGCCCTGTTTTTCCCCTTGGGCCCACCATGGGTTTAAATTTTTAAGTCCAAAAAACCCCAAATTACTTTTACTAACGCTCTGTTATTTCGATCATCCTTTTGTATCTCTATGGCTCCTGATCCCGAACGTGATCCATCAGGTTTTTAGGCCTTCTTTTTTGCCCCTCGGGTTTTCCCGGAAACCTCACATAAACCCCCTTTGAAGGCAAATTTTACAGCCGCTAAACTTCTTAAAACCCCTTTTTCCTCTTTCCCGGGGAGTGATCGTCAAACTTGCTTCGCCTACATTCACCCCGTTTTTATCGAAACTCGATTATGAACCCAATTTTTTCCCGGCCTCTCCTGCTACTCTCTCTAGCCTTAACTCATCCCTCACCCAAAGGGTTACGTTTTTTCCTTGGTCTTTTTGCTTTCCCCTGTTGAGAGCCCTATACAGAAGCGAATGTTCCATCCTTGTCTGATCGCCGTGTGGCCCCTTGCCTTGCTACTTTTACGCCCTTTACGATCTACACAAACCTTCCCTTTTTTAAATGGTCACCGATTTAGTAGACATTCTTTTTTCATTCGCCGCCCCTGTTTGCTCCTCCCCTTTTTTCTTTGCCTACATTCACCTTGTCTTCCCTTCATTACCACCTTATATTTATGTAGCATCTCATTTTTCCCCCCCCCCCTGGGAAGTTCCACTGTTGGGCGTTTTTTTCTCATCCCTTTCCAAAGCTTTAAATGCCTACGGTGGCTTCCCCCCCTTTTTTTTTGTTGTCACTTCCACTCCCCTTTTCCCTGTCACCCCTGGTCCAGATGGCTCTAAGTCTTTTAGACGGCGTCGGGTTCGCACATGTTTCCGGGCAGCGTGGGGGGGACATTTACTATATCGCAGATTTTTACTGCTGAAGTATCCATTCTTGCAGCACTTTTTGTATCGCATCTAGCCTTGTCATCAATTTTTAGTAGTTCCCCAAATCCCTTAGTGCTCAAAAGGCTATACGAAAATTTTATACATCTCAACCCCTATTTCCCCGTATCCAACTTGGCTACCCCGATTTTACCAAACATAAAGATATTGTTTTTTGTTGGTCCCTGGGCATTGACGTACAGGGCAATGAAAAAGGGAACATGCTGCGCGGTCGCAGTACAGACCTACCAATTTCCTATCGAGGTGTTCCATTCTGGCTATTTTGCTGCAATAGCTACCACCTTCGCACCCGTTGGCAACAACGTTGGTCAACTCTGCCGGTAACAACTTCATTCATTAAACCGAGCATAGGTTACTGGCCGTCTTCTTGTCATCAGTGCCGAGGTTGGGAGACCACTCTCATCCCGCCTTCGCATTGGCCACACCGTCTTACTCATGGGTATCTCATGGAGAGGTACCCTGTTCCTCTCTGTGAGCAGTGTCAAGTTCCAGTATCAATTAGCCACATTCTGTTAGACTGCCGTCTCTATCAACGAGCACGCAGAATTTACCTCCAACGTCTTCATTCTACTACTCTCTCTTTACCTTCCCTTCTTGCTGATGGACCCTCCTTTAATCCTGACTCTCTCATTGACTTCTTGATAACGACTGATTGACTTCACAAACTCTGATACTTTTTGCACTCCCCTCAACCCTTTCTAGTTCAGTCTCTTGCTGCCCTTTACCCTTTCACCATCCACTGCCCCGCTGTTATCCGTAACCTATTATTCATCCATCTCCCTTTTGCCACCTGATGCCCTCGCTTCCTGCCCTGCAGCGCTGTATAGTCCTTGTGGCTTAGCGCTTCTTTTTTTGATTATAATAATAATTCAGGTATAGTGCTTCCTTGTGAATATAGTAATGAAACAACCTGTGCAGGCTTAATGCTTCCCCATATAATTGTGGGGATATGCTAAACTGTAGGGAGTATGCAGTGTCTTTGGAGAATTAGGTAGGTAATCTGAGGAAACAAAGGATAGTTCTTATTTCTTGGAGCAAGTGCCCTTCAGCATGAAGGCACATTTAGTCAGTCTTCATTTTATAGAGGTGGGACTTTGAGAGAATGGCAGATAGAGAGTATTGAAGAATTTTCAGAATTGCCCATAGTGTGAAGATTAGGGTACCTGTCCCCATACCTTGAAGATGTTACATTACCATTATAACCAAAACGAAGTTGTAAAGCACCAGGCTCATACAGTGCTAGTCTTCATATTGGTGAAGGACACTTGATTTAAGAATTAGCTACCTTTACCTTCCTCTGGATCATACAAGTTTAGCACTTCATTTTTAATAATCTGAATCATACATGAGGAAGCCCCTCCCTCACTGGCATCGTGGAACCTGTCCATTATATATTTATATCGGTGCACTAAGAAATGTTTCCAGTATCCCCTAGATTATTATTATAATAAAAAAAGAAGCGCTAAACAGCACTGCTGTATCGCCCTTATCAAAAATAAGGGTAATATTGCATTCCCAAGATAATAAATTAACATTTGGTACTAAAAACCTCTCCCTTCCAGGAGCCCGTTATTGGTCCCACTCTCGATGAAATGTTGGCAGATTTTGTAGATTGTGGCCCAGATGATTAAATCTTAAAAAATTATAGCAGTAAGGGATTAAAAAACTTTTTAAGAAATATTCATTTTATTTACCTAAATCATTTGTTATCCATGTATCTTGTACAAATTTCACACATCACTGCTCACTCCAGTATGCAACCACACACTTCAGCTGTCGTTGTCCAAATATAAAAATTCATCACTATTAAGGAAGAGCTGATTTACAAGTCTCTAGTGTAGAGAATATCATCAGTAACTATGAAAATAATTTGTGGGGGTGGGGAGTTGGTTCACCTATTGATAATGGTTTGTGTATAATAAATAAGTGTGGATATGTAATTACAAATTGCTTGATGTAAACATCAAACTTAATAACTAAAACATAATGAGTGGGTGGTTAAATTATATGTAAATGTATTTTTACAATATACACCTATGCATACATAACTTTCTATGTGCACACTAGTTACATAAAAAGGTAGTTTAAAACTTTGATATAATGGCTCAAGATACAGTGGCAAGGTCACAATATTATTTTGTGCATCACCAGTACTGCAGTGAATATTGTTTGCAATAAAACAAATGCACACTAAATCTCTTTCCAAATTACACTCACACTTTTGACACTAACGCAACCAACATAGTGCACTGGCAAGGTTGCTTTAGGATTCTCAAGCCAATGTTTATATCTGATGAAATTAGTGGTTCTATTATATTATTATTATTATTATTATAATCAAAAAGAAGCGCTAAGCCACAAGGGCTATACAGCGCTGCAGGGTAGGGAAGGAAGCAAGGGAATTGGATGGCAGAAGGGAGGGGGGATGATAAACCCATTTACAGAAAAAAGGGGGGCGGGGGGATGGGTACGGGGGTAGGGGGTTTTAGCAAGAGATACAAGTAAAAAGGGGCCCTGAACAATAAAAATTTTTTTGTAGTAAGGGTTCAGTCGTTGTAAAAAGTCAATGAAAAGGGTCCGGAGGGAAAGGGGGGTCCACCCAGCGAAAAGGGGAAAGGGTTTAAAGAGAGACCCAGGGGGGCGAAAAACGACGACAGGGGTTTAAATTTCCCGCGTGCTGTTGAAAAAAGGGGCAGTCCAAAGAATGGGGCTGGCTGATAATGGAGTTGGAAATTTCACAGAGGGGAGCAAGACCCCTCTCCATGAGATATCCATGGGGTAAGACGAGTATGGCCAATGCGAAAGACGGGAAAAGAGTAGCCCCCCCAAACCCTCGCACGGGAAAAGAAGACGGCCCAGAAACCTATACTCGGTTTAATAGATTTAAAAGTTTGTTGCCCGAGCATAGTAGCCCAACTTTTTTGCCTAACGGTGTGAAGGGGAAGATATTACAGCAAAAAATTCCGTACATGGAATACCTTTTTAAGGGAAACTGGTAGGTCATGTACGCTGCCCGCGCAGCAGTTCCTCCCTGTTCATTGCCCGAAGTCAACATGCCAGGGACCCAAAAAAAAACAAAAACCTTTTTGCTTAGAAAAAGATGCGGCTAGCCAAATTTGGGTTTCGGGGGACTAAGGGGTGAGGTGTATAAAATTTTTGTATGCCTGTAAAGCACCGGGGGAGTCTGGGGACAACCACAAATGATGACCCCGGGCTAGAGAAAATTACGGATAAGTGTGAAAGGGAGGCCCATATAATTCAGCAGTAAAAATACAAGTGAAGAAGTAAATCCCCCCTTGTACACCCCTGCCCGGGGAAAACCCGGGGGGGGGGGGGGGGGGGGGGTTTGGGGTTTCCTACCCGTCAGAAGACTTGGGAGCCACTGTTTTTTAACACAGCAATGGCATAGAATGAGGGGTGAAAGTGGCCCAAAAAAAGGAGAGGGGGAACGACCGTAGACGTTGGGCTTTCGAGCAAGGGGGGGAAAGAAAGAACAAAACTCGAACAGCGGGAAAACTTCCCGGGGGGAAGGGAAAAGTGTGATGCTAAAAATGTACATGAAAGGTGGTATTTTAAAGAGAAGACAAGGCGAATGAAGGCGAATGAGAAAAGGGGGACGGAGAAAGCAGGGGCGGCGAACAAATAAAGAATGTCTATAATATCAGTGACCATTCTATAAAGGGAAGGTTTGCGGAGTTTCATGAAGCGACATAGTAGCGCAGGCAATGGGCTCCCGGCGATGGGGAAAAGGGTTTGGAAACGTTCGTTCTGCAAAAGAGGCTTTGGGACAGGGGAAGAGCGAAAAGCCCCAAAAGGCAAAAAACAAACCCTGGTGATGAAGGGGGTTTTAAGGCTAGAAAAAGATTTGCAGGAATGCCGCTGAATAAATCGGGTCACCATAATCAAGTTTCGTTTAAAAAAATGTGGAAGTAGGTGAAGGAGGGTTCGACATCAGCTCCCCACGAAAAAAGGGCAAGGGTTTTAAAAAGGGTTTAACAGCCGGCTGTGAAAATTTTCCCTTTCAAAAGGGTAATGTGTTTTTTCCCAAAGGATAACCAACGATCAAAGAGGAGGCCCAGAAACTTACTGTTTTAAATTTCCCAGGGATCCGGACCAAATAGAGGTAAAAAGGGATGATCGGGAGTTTGGAAAAGGCGTCAAGGAAAGTGTTTTGGGGGGGGTTTTTTAGTGCGGGAAAAATTTTAAAACCCCAAGGTGGGGGCCCCAATTGGAAACACGGTCGATGCTGCTGGAGAGAAAAACTGTAAGGAGGTGCAGTCAGCGCCGGGCAACGGGCCCAATTTGCAAGTATCAACATAGAGTGATGCCCAAAAATATTTGAGGGAAGACAGAGGCCAAATCTTAATAGCAAGGAAAAAAATTTGTGCTCAAACACACCCCCGGGGGGGAAAAACCTTCAGTTTGGATAAAGTCCGGGGAGAGCACTTTTTTAAACCCGAACAGGGAAATGCCTGTCATTTAAAAAAGTTCTTAAGGAAGGATGGTAGATTGCCCCCAAAGGGCCAAAGGGAAAGTGGGCTTGGGCAAAAAATATTATCCCTCCAAGTTGTGCCATATGCCTTCTCAAGACCCAAAAAAAAAGGAATAACTGAGTGGTTTTCGCAAAGGATTACAAACTTTTACGTTTCCAAGCGCAGTAAGGGGTTTTAGGGTAAAAACGCCCTTTACAAAGCCATATTGACGAGTGGAGAGATTGTTTGTGTGTCTCTAAATACCACACTAAACGTCTATTTACTAGACTTTCCATTATTTTGGGCAAACTGCACGGGGTAAAGAAAATGGGACGAAAGTGGGGGTTTTTCATGTCCCGTATTTCCTGGTTTGGGGAAAAAAGGGAGAACAATGGGGATTTCCACAGCTTGTGGAAAAAAACTCCTTGTGCCCAAAAAAGATTTTTAAATGGCGTAATAGGACTGGCAAGGGCTGACTGATGTAAATGTTGTGGGAAATCAAATTTGGGAATGTCGTGGGGGCCCAAAGCCCCGTTTACGCAAGCTGAGGTGTTGCCCCATTTTTCTTAAAAGGGGTTAAAAGGAAAATTTAATACTGTTCTTTCTGAGAGAAGAAAAGTCCAAGGGTGCTAACTCTTGGGCCCTTTGGGAAAAAGAAATGGGGGGCAAAAATGGAGTCCCTGAGAATACGGACCAGATGATTGCCCAATTTCATTGGCAACATCTAGGGGTTTGGGCTATATAAAACACCCCCCAACCCGCGAACAGGAGCCGGGTCAGGAGAATTTTTTACCCCTCAGTTTCTTTCCCCTTTTTTCCCAGCTGCACTCATAGAGGAAGAAGAGGTGATGGTGGAAGACTTTAATCTCGCCAGAAATTTTGGTTTTTTTTAAAGCGTCACGGAGGGCACGGCAAAAGCGATTCGCACGCTTCTGTTTAAAATCAAGGAGTGCTCTGTGGTTCTATTGTACCGGAAACCCCTTGGCCCCAAAGCGAGCGTTTAAAACGTACTGCACGAGCACAAGCAGGAGACCCCAAAGGCACGCTTTTTCTGAAATGCTGCTGAAGTTTTGGGGTATAGAAGGGGAAGCTGGGGTTGGGGAAAAAGGAGGATGAGAAGAGGTTTTAAAACTCTCGGGGGGAAAAAAAAGGAACCTTTTTAAAAAACCCAGTCAGGTGGGGATTTAAAGGTTCCAATTTCCCCCTTTTAAAATTTTTGCCAGCGGGGGGGGCCCGAAGGGTGGCGAATATGAAGGGGAAGAAGAAATGAATTTGGGGAAAAATTCATGTCAGAAAGCCCGGGAAAGAAACAAAACCAAGTAAAGTCAAAAGCGGGGGAGGAAGAGCAAACTGAGAGATCGATGCAAGGGGAAGAAAGAGTCCGAGGATCAAAAGGGGTGGAGAACCTGTTTTTAAAAACATGGGGGGGGTGGGTGGCAAAAAAAGTCTAATAAATTTTCCAGGGGGAATCACAGTGGGGGACCCCCCCCAGAGGAAATGGTGGGCTTTAAAATCCCCAAGTAACAAAATTTGGGTGGGGGTTTTAATAACGAAAAAAGGAAGGAAAAATGGGGGGAAATAGATAATGCCCAAAAGGGGAAAAGAGATAAAAAAGAACAGAGGTATCCCAAACCTATGTAAGTGGATACGGGCTGCTGTGTTTAAAGGAGGAAAGTATGAACAAATAGCGGGGTTTGGGACGGAATATCAGTGCGGAGAAAAGGGGGACTTTTTTAAAAAAGGTCCCCATCAGGAAAAGGAAAAACTGAAGAATACCCAAAAAATTAAAAGCCTTAGAATTGGGGGAAAAATAACAGCAGAGTTGGGAAATTTTTTTTTCCCGAAAACAAACCCCAACAGGGGCCCAAAAGGGGGGGTAACCCTCTGAAACTCACCCCGATTTTCCCCTGAGGCCATATATTCCACCCGAAAAAAGGGCCCTGAATGGCCCAAAGTAAATAATTGAAATCCCAGGGAAGGGTTTTTTCCCACGGACTAGGAGGGTTAAAAAAGTCCACATGCGGAGGCCCGTGGAAAATGTTCAACAGCGAAGGAACGGTGCGCTGTGAAGAAAGGGGTTTTCGCCCGAAAAGGGGCAAAGGAGAGAGAAAGACGGGAAAGGGGGATCAGTGTCCCCTTGGGGGGGTTTGGTTTTCTGCAATAAAAATTTAGAGATTGCTTCAAGGTTTCAGAATTCAAGATGTTG